GGGGGGGGGCGGAGGGGGGGAAGGGCACAAAGAGAGAATCTGATGCCACATTTGTGAAATTCTAATCTCAGCTCTCTGTATGAGTTTGAACCTAGAAGAGCTGTTATGGGCTGAACTTTCAGTAACTCAAGTCAGTTAGAGCTGTGGTTTCAGCTTCATCAGCAGGACATACCTTGTTGTTGTAGACCCCCTCTTCCCGAGCTCTGCTCCCATTGTGCCCATTTTTCTCACCGACGTCCACTTTGTCCTGTTGATCCTCCTCTCCCTCCTGGTCATCTTCGTCCTCCTCTACCCTCTATATGTTTCTTTTCTTTGACTGGCACTCCTACTCACCTTTTTCGTCCATTCCCTCTCTTCGTCCATGTCTAAGCCCCTCCCCTCCCCCTCATCCTCTTCCTTCCCTTTCTCTGCCTTCATCATCCCCCGTATCCTCCTCCTCTTCTCCTTCCTTTCCTCCTTTGTCTCTTTGTCTTTGTTTCTCTTTCTCCCTCTCCGTCATCCACCCCCTTCTCATTTCGCGAGTTCTCTACTCCCACTTTAGAACTGACTTCGATGTTATTGTTTTTCTTTGCGTCAACTACTTGGCATAAATGTATATGATTGCTAAAGATGTGGTAGACGAAGAGCTTGACGGGGAGATTGGCGATGGCCAAGTGGCTTGTTCAGAGTATGCCACGTTGCTCCAGAGTGCTGATCCAGAGCTTACAGAGGTTCGTAAACAATTGCTTATGTATAGCAAGTGCACTGCTCATATCTTGAAATGTGCATGAAGGTCCTTGACATCCCTGTCATCATCTTATGCATACTTTCCCACCAGGATGTTTTATTTTTTATTTTTATTTTTTATTATTATTATTATTTTTTTTAATAATGGCACGTGCATATTTTACAATCTCGTGAAGCTGCTGCACACAGATTGCAAATGCGTGCCATCCTTGTGCTCGGGCCATGATAATTTGGATGTCCCACCAGGATGTTTTTACGTGCGCGAGGAGCTACAAGTTTTGCGCCTAACAGCTTAAACCATGGTCGAAAATACGCATACTTTTCCCACTAGGAAATTAGGAACTGTTTTGCCATCCAGAATCTTTGTGCCCGTTATTTCTATTTTTTAAAGTTTTTTCCCCCAAACAGATTGGCACGCATAGCATGTTGCAACAAAAATATCGAGAAACTCAGAAAAGAGAATAGTGTACCCTTATGAGGAGAAGACAGCTATTTTAGCGGGGGGGGAGGAGATGAGCACCGTGCAGCACCAAAGACAGCCATCAGGACTCTCTGCGGCCGGTAGGTGGAAGCTTCCTGTGACCAGTTTGTATAACCACTGCACACCTGGTGTGACGGGGCTGAGGCAGAGCAGCGAGGCTGGGAGAGAGAGGGAGAGTGAGAGTACACACACACGCTCACTCAACTCGACGCAGACTCGACGGACGCAGACAAAAAGTGGCAAAGCCGCAAAGTCACAATCTTGGATTCCAAACACAATGTCGCAGGAAGTCACATTGAAGCACAAGCACTGAGGCCGAAAACTGAATGCCCGAATTCAGCTTGAGTCCGGTCTTAAGTACCGGACTCAAGTTGAGTCCCGAGGGCAGAAGTGCAATTTGCCTCGGGGCTGAACTGAAAATCGAAGGTCTGAGCCTGGGCGCCAGAATGCCGGATGGCGCCAAGTATCGAAATCCGAAAGTGCCAGAGGAGGGATTTGAGAACGGGCGCCATCTGCAGAGGGCGCCAACAGTCAGGAACCGGAGATCAGAGACTCAAAAATAAAATAGCAGCCTGGCGGGTGGTAACCCGCGGACCAGGGATCGAAGTCCGTAACACCTGGGTTGACATCGGGGCCAGTGGTGGGTTTAAACCACCTGTACCTCCGAGCCTCTCTTTCCCAGCGAGCATTTGCACTGCACGCCAAAGAGAAACGAACTTCCAGCAGCACACTTCTTTTCCTTTTCCGGCTGGTGCCGCCAGCCACTCTGTGGGGTAGCACTGTTCATCCGAAGAACCCGGATTGACACAATTTTTGTTCTCAGGTTTGCCTGGGTGAGTTACTGGTGGTTTAACTGTAATTCTAATCTTGGAGTTGCCAGATTCAAACAAGCGTAAAGGTTTATTCCACTACGTACTTGTGAAATCCATCGATCAAAATCATCTGCAACTGTACTCGATCCAGGCCGTCGGCTGTGAATCAGAGGCTGGTCAACGGCGTCAACATTATTTATTGAACCAGCCCCTGGGGTCATGATTCAGTCTTGCACTTGCTGCTTGATGCTGTCAGGACGCTGACTTGACGCTGGCAGAATGCTGGCACTACGATGGCATTGTGCGACGACGACGCGAGACTGGTGCATTGCGTCTGGCGCCCTTCTGCTTCTGGGCGCCAGCTGTCTTCTTGCTTGCTGATGTGGCATTTGCCATGCTGTCTTCAACATTGCTGACGAGGCGCATGCCACACTGTCTTCGGCACTGATTGGGAAGTCGACAAGGAGGGATATCAGGAACTGTGGGATTGTTTGAGTGAGAGAGAGGGAACTTACCCGTTGTTGCTGTCGACATTGCTCGCTGCAGAGATGTCTTCATGGAAGACCTGTGCCCACGTGGCACTATGCTGTGATCAGATCTTGTCAGACTCGTTACTGGGATACTTCTTGTTGACTTGGGCGTGGGAGATGCCCGAAGAAGGAGTGGGGATGGAGAGGGATCTATCTACAAGGATATTGATGGATACTTTCTCTTCCACCCTCTAAGTCTATTCTCCCTCCTATCAGCTTCATCCTATGGTTACGAGACATTGTACTACAGATCACATTTCATGATTATTGGAGGCATTTATCAGCGCTGAGATATCTTGTATTTCGACACTTGACGAGTTCTCTCCCGACTGGGTTACAACTGAAAGCCTTTCATCAAAATTGTGGTGTAAATCAATCGCAAAGTTCAATGCAAAGTGCCAAGACAACACATGGTGACCTTGTCGTTGTGTACTCATAAAGTGCTTAATTTGTTATAGATTGACTTGTAACTTGTAAGTTAAAATTGCCCGCAGCATGTTCTCTTTAAGTCTCTTTTGTTTAGAGGGCGGTAGACCCTGACATCACTGTATCGATCGGGATTTGAGCTCTTGATCTGTTGATTAACAGTTACATGTGCTGTACCATTCACCCGCAAGGCAGGTACATGTCTTCTGCATTCCGGTTGTGCAATTGAACAGCGAGTCTCAATGGTTTCCTCTGTTGCTTATTTTGTCATTTACCCCTATGCCCTCCTATTCGCACACTCTTCACAGGGTAATGTGTGTGGCGTGTCTTTCCACTTGTATGTTTCAACTTGGAACTCGGAATGGTACTGTTTATTGTGATGAGTTTTGCACTGTTCTTTTTCTTTCTTCTTCTTTTTTTTCTGTTGTGTTTCGCTTTCTGACAAAAAGGCACGTGGTTTTCTTTTTTTCCTTTTTTTTTCCATCTTTAGATTTGTGCTTTTCGGCGGGTTGTTTTTTGCCCCCCCCTCCGTGTTCACTTGGACTTCAGTGGTTCTCTCAATTTCTCTGCAGATTTTTACAAACTCAGAAATGTACGTCAGGGTTACTGTCGCTGTAATGGTTCACAAGATGTGTTGCATGGAAGAAAAGCAGGAGCTTGAGCTCCGCAATGAAGCATGTGAAGCTGATGTCGCGGCAGCTCGCCAGTTTGGCCGGAAGCTTCTCCTTGATCTCCTTTCATCAACGGTCAGTAGCATTTGCATGATGTCGTTTTCTGGTTCTTTGCTAGGCTGGGCCGCCGCCCGGCCGGTTGGGCCCGGGGGGTCCGCCCGGCGAAACCGGGCGACGCAAAAACACAGCAAGGAATTTTTTTATTTTTTTTTGAAGGCGGGGTTGTGCTGCGCTACCCTAG